TCGAGTGGTGAATATGTGAGCATGTGAAGTTTTCACTTTGGAAATGAGAGAATGCTTGAGCAAACTCACGTTCGAGAATGTTTAGACTTTGGGCGCGGGTTTAGAGTATCCAGTTTTCGATGTGCAGCCTGCACGAGTGCGTTGAGTGTGTGAAATGTGCAATTGGAAACGTTTCCACACTCGAAGCCTTCACAATGCACACAATTCAATGGCGTAAAATATGAGGGGCATAAATTGTGTGCTTTTCGATGATAAATAGTTTCGGAAACAAGCATATAAACACGTCATCTGCTTTAATGTTTATGATTTTCATGCCGGAACATTACTAAGAAGCTTATTGTAAGATCATATATATAAATGATAATGCCAGAAGCGTTTTGTAAAGTATATTATATATGAAGTAGTATAATCTTTACAGATACCTATAAATTTTTATAGAAATCTATACTTAGGAGTGAATGTCGGTAAGTGTATTGCAGCGCCATCTAGGTTTGAGTTTTTGTACTGTGGTTTTGGTTCTTATTTAACCTATTTTTATTTTGCAAAAAAAGTTGCCTATATTTTTTTGCACGAAAAAAAACACGAAAATGTTTACTTTTTGTTAAATTCTTTGTCTTTTTGATCAACTCGGTATATTAACACAATTGAAGAATAGCTGGTATAATCCGAATTGTATTATTAGATCTACCGGTGCATCCAGTTGCTTGAATTGCGAGATTACATTTTGCGGGCGCTTTGTAGCAATTCTATTTGACCGCCGCAGCTATACGCCGCTTGCCGATTGTGAATTAAAGTCGGTTTTGCGTCGGCGGTGGCGCGCAAAAGACGTGTCGATTTGAGCACGCCGCTCGCGCCGCTTCTGTAATTATTAGATAATGATTGCTCCGCCCGCGGCCGTAAGACGCGCCTCGCCCGCACGGCCATTAACTAAGATTCCAATTTGTAGCGCACGCGAAGGAGTTCTTAATTACACCGCCTTACTCAGCCCACTGCTGCCACCATCGCATTCTTGCTCGACTTTAATGCCGAATTCCTCCATATTTTGAGGTCACTTATGCGACGCGCGCGCGCGCCCCCTATTGATTTATAGCGGATTCGACTCGCGGCGAAATTAAACTCATAAAACTACAGATAAAACGCTATAAATATTTGAAATTGCATCCGGCGATGTTCGGCGAAGACTTGAAGTCGACATGCTCGGCGCGTCTCCGATGGCGGGAAATTGTTCGCGACACTTTCATCCCTCGAATGCTCATTTCGAGGAGCATCTCAACTCCTTATTGCAACAGATGTCAACTTGCATTTACCCAGGGCAACGGGAAAACCTCGCGCCGAGAACACACTATCATACAGGGTATTATTAATCAAAACATGGCGCGTGTTTTCCCTGAAAGAGAAACACAAGGCCCCGAGACCGCGGTCGGTCGGAGTCTAAGTCAGTGTTAAGTTGAATTTCATTAGGGGCCGGCCTCGGGGCGCCGCTGCGTCATTAAGTTGTGTATGCGGTGCCGTTAGTGCTGCTATTATTTATAGAACTCACACAAGAAGCACGCGCACCGCACTCCCACATCCACATCCTGCAGATATTAAACTGCATTGAACAATCCGTTTGCGCGCTCGTTTCCGCTTGTGCCGCCGTCGGGGAGTGAAAGATTTTTCATTCGAAATTCGTATTAATTAATCGTCTGTTGTATGCAACATTGTATGCATCGCGTATGGGGTGCCATCTGTTTGGCGAAAGTTTGATGATAGACGAGCTGGGCGATGGCGCAAAAAATGCTTTTAACGTTATTACTTCGCTGCTCCGGGCGCCCAACTATGATACATAAATTAAACAACAGGACAGAGCGACATCGGGGGACATGATGCCCGACCATTAATAATCTGCATCTCGTAGAGATCGGCTTGTCACCCAGCGGAAAATCGCAACTTTTCGTTTCATTCACCGCGCACAACGCTTTGTGTCGTCATGACGCCGCAGGAAAAAAAAAACACATTACGGCAATGACCACAAATTAAAGATAATTTCACCCGTGGGAACGCTCTTTGCTTTTATAACCTTCACCTGCCTTCCGGTCTTTGGAATTCCTCACATCTTTGGTATTTGGTATTTTTCAAGTCAAACGGAACAATCCATATTACACCACCACACTGTGATGATACCGGAAGTCGAGGTGGACATTGGAAACGTCCACATACTTTTATTTATCTGTCTTTTATATTATACTCTTGTCCTCGTTACGAACAAAAGCATTCGGGAACAGAAGCTGGAAAGTTTCCGCGTCGTTCTTGTTTCCTCGTTTGCTCAAACTGCGCTTTACCCCCACCAACTATACAATTATCCAGGCATCCAACGCTGCAGCGTGAAATAGAAATAGATGAAATAACAATAAAATAGAAAACACTCCATGGCGGATTATCGTTATTTTATAAAACCGTCATAAATTTCACGCTAACTATACGAATGCATTTCCGGTTTATCTTGCGCGTATAAATATTAACAATACTAATATAAATAAAGCTTCTGTATCGCCAGCCAGAGGGATTTGAAAAATAATTCGCTCTTTGAGCACTCTGGAGCACATTTAATTGAAATCTTTATTCAAATACAAAAAGCTTTCCGCCTCCACCCACGCGATGTTCACAGCCCCATGGGGATATGATCATATAATGCAATATAGAGCGCGCGCTTTTTCTGTATGTCATGCGTGGCCGGCGGCGACGCGATTAGTTAAAAATCCATTACGGAGCGCACACGAAAAATTTATTTAACGCACGCTTAAAAATGTATTAACGGGATTATTTATTGCGCGCCAGCGCTGAATATGTGCCACATCTGTCTCTATCTTTTTCGCGACATGGCAACACGCGGAAATGAATATGCGCCGCGTTTGACATTTATAAATTTTATATTTGCGCCAGATCAAACAGCCCCCTGGGTCGCGGGACTGAATAGGGGTAATGTATATAATATATTGCTAAAGTCTCAAAGGACTCGATGCGATAATGCGGTGGATTAACGCATGAATTATTGTTGTTAGTGTTTGTAATTTTAAATGTATTAAGATGATATCAAAGGAATTGATAAGAAAAGGATATAACATGCGCCTTAAATAAATAACCTGTGTTTTGTTACATTGTAATTACCAGAGAATATTTTTTTCATAATACGAACGGATTTTAATAAAAAATAACTACTTTAATAAAATAATAACATTAATTATTTTTGAGCTTTTTGGTCTTATAACGTACTGATTCTGCCAATTAAATTCTCAATTTTAATTTAAATTAGGATTAGAAAAGCTTATAATGCATTTAGCGCCATCTGGGAGTGAATTTCGGGACAATAACTATGATTACATCACTATTACAACTTTCATCCCTTATTTAACACCCTTAAAATTAGTATTTTGCGATAAAAAGTAGCCTATTCACTTTTCCAATGTCTTAAATATATTTATACCAAATTTTAACAAAATTGATTAAATGGTTTTTACGTTAAAGTGATACAAACATACAAAATCCTCAAATTTGCTTTTAAATTTTACCTATTTTTGTTTATAATTTAAGATTTACCAAGATGATATCAAATTAATTGATAACCACCCGCGTACCAAAATAAACAACCCTTATTCCATCCGATTGTAATTACACGACACAATTCTTATCCACCCCACGCACGACGCAATGTTTAATATATTCATACGAATACAATTTCACCCTAAGATGCTTTTCCATCAAATTCCGTCCCTTTGCGTGCAGCATCCGAAAGTGTGTACATGTGCGTGGCTTTCCAAAACAAACTCGTTGGCAATTAATTAATTAATTAAACCTCATCCACATGAGAAGTGGTCCGCGCGCTCCAAAGCAGATGATACTTCTTTCAAAAACGAGATAGTAGGATATACACAACATCATCCGCACTGATGCAAATTACATCCGACATCCTCGAAGCGCTAAACATTAAACGCTAAGCACTTTGCTTTATGACTTTCTTAGTCCAAATTTCCACATTATGCAAATATTCATTTTTCAACGGCGCGTGGCCGGCGTGCACCGCAGGAAAGTAATGGCGCGGTGCGGAATGTTAAGAGCATTAAAGACAGCACCCTCTCCCCGTTGGACCACCACGCCAACCCACGAGGGTTGTGAGCTTGTGCTGATTTAGAGTATTTGAAGAATTTAAATATTTAATTAATGGAAGCGCTGAGCAAGCGATGCTTGCCGCTTGCGAAAGTTGCACGTCAACGCGAAATAAAATAAAATTAGGAAGCGAAGGCGATGTGGAGGTATATGGGGAAGAGGGTGGAGAAGGTTGGCAAATGTTTGCTCGATAAACAAGAAAAATGTGAAACGCTTGTATTATTTTCACTTCCGTTTATTCCAATGGTGAAAAAAAGGCGCTTTTCTTGCTGTTTCTTTGTAGGGGTGAGTTTTTTTTTTTGCACTGGCGGAGCAGGCTGATATCGAGATGTTTTGTGTGCGTAGACTTTTCGACTAGAAAATCTAGAAAATCGAGAGCAATAAATACCGTCCTTGACTCGCCATCTTGGCTCCGCCATTGGGATGTGAGATGGAAGACGTAATAAATTCTGCTGCGGACATGATTGTTCTTAATTATCTCGTCGGAGGAGGGTATTAGGTTGCGGGCGAGGCAGTCGCACGACTGGTCACTTTATTTTCCCCACTCACACCCGCGGGGGAAAAAGATAAGCGAGATTGAAACACGCATGAAACTCATAAGAATGTAAAACATCCCTTCAAGACATCAGACATCTCGAGGTTGGGTTATGTTATGTTTTATTTTGTTGTTTTCTGCATTACCGACAAGAGTAGTTGGTTGCATATCTATGCATGAATGACCTCCGGGCGTAAGCAGATAACAAGCTCTCTTCTATACTTCTATACTTTAGAAAACAACAATTGTAAGACAAACATTGTGCTCTATTGATGACTTGAAGTGGCAGTAAATATTTAAACAATGTATTGTCCAATTGCAGGTCGTAGCCAAGGGGCGTCCGAGCACAGCGCCTATTGGGAGCAGCCGTTCTCGCAGCCCTACTTTGACAACTCGTCCCGTCGTGATGTCACATCCACCGTGGGACAAACGGCGCATCTGCACTGCCGTGTGCGCAACCTCGGCGATCGTGCGGTACGTAAACCACTTCTCTCTGACTCCTTGGTCCAACTGGGCGCCAACTTCGGTACTCCAAGTCCATCCGAGAAACTTTACACTCCTCACTCAACGATTCTCGCGCGAGATTGGTTTGATAAGACCAAGTTTGCGAGAGTTGAGTTCCAGGCGGCTTGACTTTTCGACTTGACTTGAGCTTCACGCCTGGAACTATGCGCCAAGTTTGTCGGGAATAATTTTGCTAATAAGTCACACACAACACGCCCACACACATTCGGTGTTTTTGTGATTATTGTTTGGCAACTGTGTGTTGCTTCTGTCCGGGGATCAGATTGAACTGACTTGGAAGCCCTGCGCCAATTTTCAGCTATCTTGTTTGCGTAATGGAACAAACATGAGCTCACTGAAAGGCAAAAACGTCCAAGGACGCACCTTTATTTGCGCGCAGCGTTTCGCACGTCGGGAGCTTTAAACTTCTGCGAAATATGCAGAAAGCTTTTTTCCAGCTTTTTCCAGTCACCCGACCAAACAAACACATTGTTCCTTTTACTTTCACTTTCATTTGTTTTCCTTTTTATTTGTGCGCCACACACAAAAGACTTACGAAAGTCTATTGCTTCGAAGGTTTCATCTCGGGGACGTTTTACATTATACATTTACAGCGGACTTTAATGTTTAATTCTGAGGAAATTATTAGCTAGGACCCGACTTAGGCTTGAAAGACAAACAGATATAAATTATCCCCGGCCGCATTTGGCGTGGGCGCCAATCGACTAGCGACTGGGGAGGGTATTTTTCTTCGAGTGCCCTCGTCGCTTACCCTTTCGGCAATAAATCGGCAGGTTTGATATCGCGATGCGGCGCTCGCTCAGCCGATAAGCGCGCCGCCGCCGTCGTCTTATCATCGAACCTTTCGCAATTTCTACGTTTATGAGGATGGCGGTGGGCGGGCGCGGAATGTGCATGCCCTAATGTTCATTTCGCTCGTATATTCCAGCTTAAGGGCTGTGCACAAGGATATTCCACTGGGACGCGTGGAGCACAATCGCAATCGGAAAAATACAAATTTCTAATTTTATTATTCGCGGCGCGCTTTTACGATCACTGCCATTGTAGCGTAATTGCACACAATGAATTCCCACTGTGAGAAATACTATTTTAAGCGAAATCTAAGGATTTACCAATGACTTAGATATCTCTTGTCTTTACTACTCTAATATCTATAATTTTAGAATCAGTTATTTCACTGTAAATTTGATATCTTTGTCGCAGGTCGAGGATTATAATAATTAAAACCTCAAGGTCCTTCATAACCTCAATCCTAGCCTAGACACTAATTAATCATATTCTATCATCTCGCTTTTGTGCTCGTTTCTAACAGATTTTCCCCCGGACAAGTTTTTCATCTCCATATGAGATCTCTTGTTAGAAACCCGATCTTCGTATTTGGCTATACAACGCTGTTAAATGGTCGTCACTTACATTGTGCAATCCTTAATTAATTCGCGCGCTCAGGCGAGAGCATTAAATTCGTCGGTCTTTAATACGCGCCGTCGTCGTCGTCGTAATGAACGTTTCAATAAAATTTATAGCGGCAAGACCTAATCTGTTCTTGTCGCGTTGTCGCATTTACCATTTCGCGCGGCGGCGGCGCCTCGCTTGCATTATGCCCGCATTAAACTACGCACCCTACGAGCTGAGGGTTTATTGTGCACTCATGTCAAGTGCACAATCAAAAATTTTCAACTAGTAAAAGCAGCACAGGATAAGATTCGTAATTAATTAGTTTTCTGTGTCTTTTTTAGGTGTCATGGATTCGTAAAAGGGACCTACATATATTAACAGTGGGAATATTGACATACACAAACGACCAGAGGTTCCAGTCATTGCACACGGATGGTTCTGACGAGTGGACGCTGAAGGTAGCTTCTCCACAGACCCGAGACAGCGGTGTCTATGAGTGCCAGGTCAGCACCGAGCCCAAAATCAGTCAAGCGTTCAAACTGAACGTTGTCGGTAAGTTTCGCTATCTGTATACCGCCATTCCAAGTCATTGCACATGTCTAATGTTTGATGTGTTTAATGTTTTAGTCTCCAAGGCAAAGATCCTTGGCAACGCCGAGCTGTATATCAAAAGCGGCAGCGACATCAACCTCACCTGCATAGTCCTGCAGACGCCTGACCCGCCCAGCTTCATCTACTGGTATCGCGGTGGTAATGTGATCAACTACTCCCAACGTGGTGGAATTAGTGTTGTCACTGAGAAACAGACACGCACCAGCCGCCTGCTTATCTCACGAGCACTGCCCACCGACAGCGGTAATTACACCTGTTCGCCATCGTCTTCAGACGCTGCGAGTGTCCTGGTGCATGTGCTCAATGGTGAGCAACCTGCGGCGATGCAACACGGCAATAATAGCAGTTCGGCAACGAGCTGGACGCTCGATTTGCTTCTCACCATTCTCGTTCAGTGTCTGATCTTCAAACGGTGAACACCAGGTGGACTCACGATGTGTCCGGATGCGCAAACATAGCTCTCTAGCTATTAATATTATCTGTTGAATGTTCACGACGATTTGTCATCATATCATCATGATCCCCTTTTATTATTCTATCATTGTGAACATTATGAATAACTTTTCTATAATAAGACCATGATAATAACGATAAAGATTGCTAACCAATAGCAACAATTCCCCTTTATATATAATGTATATTTAGATAATGTGTAAATACCCCAGTGAAGCGAATGGATATTGAATAACAATTATACTGGAATGGCTTTCATATCGGCAGTACACTTAAAATACTTTCTATTCGTTTTAGAATTTGTACTGATTGTGAGTAAGACATCTCTTTAATAGCGTTGACGAAACTGAAAACAGAAAACCCTTACGTTCATAATCGCTAATAAATAATTGTAACATACTTAGTACACACCCCGATTGGACTCTAATACCATTCATAGAAGTATTATACTAGTCAAACAATAAATATAAATAACTACCGAATAATGTGTATAAATACTTATAAGATATATTAATTATAACACACTACAATAAAGACGTAAAGTATTATACAGATACGAGACTTTATGGGTGTAAAGAGACGATATGCGAGAGAAAACTATGATTGATTAACTGTGCTACAAGATTATTGAATAATTGTAAATAGAAATAATAATCGATTTAACTAATATACATTGTTGTTTTATTTAATAGCTTCCTACACATTTTATGACTGATTTACATTGGTTTATGAGGACCATAAAGCCTAAACGGTTAATATTAACAATAAAAGTTACTAAAATAATAGATGTAAAATTATATTATCTATCAGAATCCTGAGCAGAATTCGAAAATTCCAACTTTTAATTTCGAACATAAAAAAGTGAAATCTTTTGCTTTTTTTATAACAAAATCTTTTCTTTAAAAATTTTTTGTGCCATTTTGGTAGTTTTTCAGTAAGGATGCCATCTTGAACAGAATTTTTTAAGGATCAAGAATATAAAGGTCTTTTTTTTCTGGTCCTCTCAGTTGTCGAGATAATTACCATTTAATCTTAAAAATTAAACTATTCCGGCGGAATACACGTGTATTGTAATAATTGCAAATAGAGCCTAAACGGTTAATGTGAGAAAGAAAAGTTACTAAAATAATCGATGTAAAATTATATTATCTATCAGAATCCCAAAACAGAATTCGAAAATTCCAACTATTAATTTCGGACATAAAAAAAAGAAATCTTTTGCCTTTTTTATAACAAAATCTTTTCTTTAAAAATTTTTTGTGCCATTTTGGTTGTTTTTCAGTAAGGATGCCATCTTGAACAGAATTTTTCAAGGATCAAGAATATGAAGCTCTTTTTTCTAGTCCTTTCAGTTGTCGAGATAATTACCATTTAATCTTATAAATTAATTTATTCCGGCGGAATACACGTGTGTTGCTATAATTGCAAATAGGGCTTAAACGGTCAATGTTAGACAAAAATAGTACTGAAATAATCGATGTAAAATTAAATTAGCTGTCAGGTTTCCAATTTTTAATTTAATCGAAAATAATAGCTCCATGCTAGCATAGTACGAGTACAATTCTATTCATGTTCTGCATTACCACACAGAAACTGTCAGTGTTTACAAACAAACAAGTTTTCTTATCTCCTACAATTTTTGTGCGATCGCCACGCGGTTGGCTTGTGTACCACGTTAGTCTCGTTTGTGTCGTCAGGTGATCTGCACGCACAGTTTCTTAATTTTTCTTGTGTTGTTAATGCTTCTTCGATTGTACGCGATGGATATTCTGGGTTCGTACTACGAGTACTCAACATGAGTGATGTTCCGTCGGCCGTCGTATTCTTTTTGTATTATACGCGTATTTCATCGGTTTTACAAAAATGTATGATGCATCAAAGTATGTTCTCGCATTTCTTCAGCCTTTTAAGAATCAAATACAAATCAAAATTCTCTATACAATAAGCTACTTAACTTGGAAATTTAAGCGATGAAATTTTAATTCATAAAAAAAAAATTGGCAAGGTTGGGGGCTTGATAATTTATTTCCACAATTTTCGACAGTGAATCTCTTCTAAACTAAAAGAGATAGCAACTAGAAATTTATAGGTTATGGAAGATTGGAAAATTCTGTATCAGATGGAAATTTAAAGAATTTTGAATGTAGATTTAATTCTGAATCGGTAGTCAGTAACACTATTATATATTAGAGCATTATTGGCATCTAAAATCCAATTTTTCTTTTAAATTGCTAACATTAACGATTTAAGGCCAATTGGTAATTTTATTTAAAAAAATTGAATTTGCATCGAAACGAATTGAAATACAACTTATGTTTTTTTTTACAGTATTCGCCGTACCATGGAGTTCTGCAATAACATTAACATAAACGTTAACGCAATCCTCCTAGGGTGCCCTAAATGGGAGTCACTTCTATTGCTACCCTCGTACAGTGCCCTGAATGGGAGTCACTTCTACCGCTACCCTCGTACGGTGCCCTGAATGGGAGTCACTTCTACCGCTACCTTCATAAGGTACCTAAAATGGGAGTCACTTCTATCGCTACCCTCGTACGGTGCCCTAACTTTTGTGATTATCTCACAAATTGACCCCCAAAATTGCATTTTAATGGTGGAAGGACTAATTTTGCTGATTTTATAGATTTTACACCTGAGTCTGACATCGTAGGAGGACCATTCTTGCATCAGCTTGTAAGTATTACATTTCTTTATCATTTTCTTAAATAACTTTTGTGATAATCTTACAAATTGACCCTTAAAATTGCATTTTTATGTTTGAAGGACTTATTTTTGATGGTTTTAGGGATTTTGCACCTGAGCCTGACATCGTAGGAGGATCATTCTTGCATCAGATTGTAAGTAATTTCTTTATCATTTTTCTAAACAACTTTTGTGATAATCTCACAAATTGACCTTTAAAATTGTTTTTTTTACCGAAAGACTAATTTTTGATAGTTTTAGGATTTTGCACCTGAGTCTGACATTGTAGGAGGACCATTCTTGCATCAGATTGTAAATAATGAATTTCTTTATCATTTTCTTATTTAACTTTTGTGATAATCTCACAAATTGACCCTTAAAATTGCCTTTTTCTTACCGAAAGACTAATTTTTGATGTTTTTAAGGATTTTTCACCTGAGTCTGACATCGTAGGAGGACCATCCTTGTATCAGATTGTAAGTAATTAATTTCTTAATCATTTTCCTAAATAACTTTTGTGATGATCTCACAAATTGACCCTTAAAATTGTCTTTTTCTGACCGAAAAACTAATTTTTGATGGTTTTAGGATTTTGCACCTGAGTCTGACATCGTAGGAGCACCATTCTTGCATCCGATATTAAGTAATTAATTTCTTTATCATTTTCCTAAATAATTTTTGTGAAGATCTCACAAATTGACCGTTAAAATTATTTTTTTGACCGAAAGACTAATTTTTGATGGTTTTAGGTATTTTGGACTTGAGTCTGACATCGTAGGAGGACCATTTTTGCATCAGATTATAAGTAATAAATTTTTTTATCATTTTCATAAATAATTTTTGTGATAATCTCACAAATTGACCCTTAAAATTGTGTTTCTCTGACCGAAAGACTAATTTTTGATGTTTTTAGAGATTTTGCACCTGAGTCTGACATCGTAGGAGGACCATTCTTGCATCAGATTGTAAGTAATTAATTTCTTTATCATTTTCCTAAATAATTTTTGTGATAATCTCACAAATTGACCCTTAAAATTGTGTTTTTCTGACCGAAAGACTAATTTTTGATGGTTTTAGGGATTTTGCACCTGAGTCTGACATCGTAGAAGGACCATTCTTGCATCACATTGTAAGTAATTAATTTCTTTATCATTTTCATAAATAACTTTTGTGATGATCTCACAAATTGACCCTTAAAATTGTGTTTTTCTGACCGAAAGACTAATTTTTGATGGTTTTAGGGATTTTGCACCTGACTCTGACATCGTAGGAGGACCATTCTTGCATCAGATTGTAAGTAATTAATTTCTTTATCATTTTCATAAATAATTTTTGTGATGATCTCACAAATTGACCCTTAAAATTGTGTTTTTCTGACCGAAAGACTAATTTTTTATGGTTTTAGGGATTTTGCACCTGAGTCTGACATCGTAGGAGGACCATTCTTGCATCAGATTGTAAGTAATTAATTTCTTTATCATTTTCATAAATAATTTTTGTGATGATCTCACAAATTGACCCTTAAAATTGTGTTTTTCTGACCGAAAGACTAATTTTTGATGGTTTTAGGGATTTTGCACCTGACTCTGTCATCGTAGGAGGACCATTCTTGTATCAGATTGTAAGTAATTAATTTCTTTATCATTTTCCTAAATAACTTTTGTGATTATCTCACAAATTGACCCCCAAATTTGCATTTTTATGTTTGAATGACTAATTTTTGCTTGTTTTAGGGATTTTGCATCTGAGTCTGACATTGCAGAAGAACCATTCTTGGATTACATTGTGAATATTATTTTTCTTTATCATTATCTTCAATAACTTTTGTGATTATTACACAAATTGACTCCCAAAATGTATGCTTGTGTGTTTTCTTTAATAAAGAATATTTTTAAGTTTTTTAAATTATAATTATTTCTCTTATTTCTACCTGATCACATATTTAACGATCCCTTAAACCATTTATTTTGAAAAGTGCATGCTAGTGCCATCTATCAATTAGAAACTACAACAACCGAAAGTGTTGAGCTTCGGTCCGTCGCCACTAGAGGCAGCACCTTACTGGCTACCGCCAAAACTTTATCAGCCTTCTCAACTTTCTGCGATCCTAATATTCAATCTTTATTTTGTCGACTCTGGGAGGCAAAATGACACAAAATTTGGACTCGAAACAGTCGAAACTCAGGTTTTGGTATTCGGATCGCAGAAAGGGTGAGGAGGTATGTAAATAAAAGAGGCGGTAAATAATAATGGCGGGTCAAATGAATGTTTAAAAATCTTTATTCAGTAAATTCGGTTTTCAAATTCTGAAGGATCTCGACAACTATGAGGGCTAGAAAATTAAGAACTACATAATCTTGATCCTTGAAAAATTCATTATTGAAAATTCATCAAAATGGCACAAAAAATTTTTAAAGAAAAGATTTTATTAAAAAAATGTCAAAAGATTTCTCTTTTTTATGGTCGAAATTAAAAGCTGGAATTTTTAAATTCTGTTTTCGAATTATGATAGACAATTTAATTCTACATCAATTATTTTGGTATTTTTTTTGCTAGCATAAAATGCTTAGGCCCTATTTGCAATTTTATAGAAAAAATTGAAAATGTACCGAAACAAACTGAAATAATATATATAATAATGTGGCGGGAACTATCTATGTCTACTTTCTGCGTTCCTAATACTACAGACTGATGAGCAGCAACATTTCAGCAAATTTCTCGACAAATTTTGTCGAGAAATCCATTGAAATTGGTAACAAAATTCTTTTGAATATTAGGATCGCAGAAAGTGCAGTAGGTTGAATCTATTGAATATCGGCGTAGTTTAGTTACTCGTGGATAGATGACACTAGTGATACCGTTTTTAAATTAATATTGATACAATATAAAATTGATTTTGAACTATTTCTCATATCTAGCAGTGGCATTTCCATTAAAGTTTAAGGGATTTATGGATTAATTAAAGGAGTAACGATGTTGTGAGCTATGTTCTCCGTTTGGAACAAATAAAACAATAAAAATTTATAGTTAAAAATATAAAACAACAATTTTATTCAAACATGTGGAATCACAAACTCAATTTCTTAATATATACAGCATTTTTAACAATACAAGCATAAAAACAGGATAATAATATGCAATTAGATAATGATCTTTTCATACTTTTTAACAAAATACATAAAAATGATATCAATATCAGCTTCAAAATGTTGTAAATTCATTCAATCGTATTTGGAATCATCATCAACACCGGCAATCCAATCTACAATTTCTTGGACACTATAAACCAGAATGAATAACAGAATAGTAAAACATAAAATATTATAAATTGCCAAAATATAACATACGTTCTTGGTATTTTATTCCAGTTGACACATCCATCTTCAGTAATCAGAATACCATCCTCAATACGCAGTCCACCAGTACCACGGAACCTCTCCACTTGCTCCTTATTGATAAACTTGGGCACCTCAGGAATGCTTCATCCAACTGGAAAATATTTATGTAAATGAAATATACACATACATAAATTCAATTAATTATTCTTACAGGATCCATAAAGACTCCCATTTAGGACACCGTGCGAAGGTAGCGGTAGAAGTGACTCCCATTCAAGGCACCGTACTAATCGCCGGCTAAAACAAAAAAACCACAAAATTAGCCGACCAACAAACACAAAAAAGGCATTTTTATAGGTTTCCCGAGGGATAAACCCACAAATTGTGCATGAAAATTATAAAGAATTTCAATACCTATAATTTGTTGAAAGAACGGTTGCCCTACGTCATGGCGTTTGCCCGCTAAATTCTAAAAACCACAAAATAAGCCGACCAAAAACACAAAAAGGGCATTTCTGTAGGTTTCCCGGGGGAAAAACCAACAAATTATACATGAGAATTATAAAGAATGTAAATATCTATAATTTGCTGAAAGAACGATTGTCCTACGACATGGCGTTCGCCCGCTAAACCCTAAAAACCAAAAAATTCGACGACCAAAAAACACAAAAAAGGCATTTTTGTAGGTTTCCCGAGGGATAAAACCACAAATTAAACATTAAAATTATAAAGAATTTAAATATCTATAATTTGATGAAAGAACGGTTATCGTACGACAAGGCGTTCGCCCGCTAAACACTAAAAACCAAAACATTAGCCGACCAAAAAACATAAAAAGGGCATTTTTGTAGGTTTCCCGAGGGACAAACCCACAAATTATGTATGAGAATTATTAATAATTTAAAAATCTATAATTTGATGAAAGAACGGTTATCGTACGACATGGCGTTCGCCCGCTAAACACTAAAAACCAATAAATTCGACGACCAAAAAACACAAAAAGGGCATTTTTGTAGGTTTCCTCAGGGATAATCCCAGAAATTATACATGAAAATTAAAAAGAATTTAAATATCTATAAATTGCTGAAAAAACGGTTATCCTACGATAAGGCGTTCGCCCGCTAAACACTAAAACCAAAAATTAGCCGACCAAAAACATAAAAGGGCATTTTGTAGGTTTCCCGAGGATAAACCCACTAATTATACATGAAAATTAAAAAGAATTTAAATATCTATAATTTGGTGAGAAAATGGTTATCCTACGATAAGGCGTTTGCCCGCTAAACACTAAAAACCACAAAATTAGCCGACCAAAAAGCATAAAAAAGGCAATTTTGTAGGTTTCCCGAGGGATAAACCCACAAATTATACATGAAAATTAAAAAGAATTTAAATATCTATAATTTGCTGAAAGAACGGTTATCCTACGATAAGGCGTTTGCCCGCTAAACACTAAAAACCACAAAATTAGCCGACCGAAAAACATAAAAAGGGCGTTTTTGTAGGTTTCCCGAGGGACAAACCCACAAATTATGTATGAGAATTATTAATAATTTAAAAATCTATAATTTGATGAAAGAACGGTTGTCCTACGACATGGCGTTCGCTCGCTAAACACTAAAAACCAAAACATTAGCCGACCAAAAAACATAAAAAGGGCATTTTTGTAGGTTTCCCGAGGGACAAACCCACAAATTATGTATGAGAATTATTAATAATTTAAAAATCTATAATTTGATGAAAGAACGGTTATCGTACGACATGGCGTTCGCCCGCTAAACACTAAAAACCAATAAATTCGACGACCAAAAAACACAAAAAGGGCATTTTTGTAGGTTTCCTCAGGGATAATCCCAGAAATTATACATGAAAATTAAAAAGAATTTAAATATCTATAAATTGCTGAAAAAACGGTTATCCTACGATAAGGCGTTCGCCCGCTAAACACTAAAAACAACAAAATTAGCCGACCAAAAAACAAAAAAAGGGCATTTTTGTAGGTTTCCCGAGGGATAAACCCACAATTTATACATGAAGGTTAAAAAGAATTTAAATATCTATAATTTGCTGAAAGAACGGTTATCCTACGACAAGGCGTTCGCCCGCTAAACACTAAAAACCAAAAAATTAGCCGACCAAAAAAACATATAAAGGGCATTTTTGTAGGTTTCCCGAGGGATAAACCCACAAATTGTACATGAATGTTATAAAGAATTTCAATACCTATAATTTGGTGAAAGAACGGTTGCCCTACGACATGGTGTTCGCCCGCTAAACACTAAAAACCAATAGATTCGACGACCAAAAAACACAAAAAGGGCATTTTTGTAGGTTTCCCGAGGGACAAACCCACAATTTATACATGAAAATTAAAAGGAATTTAAGTATCTATAATTTGGTGAAAAAATGGGTATCCTACGATAAGGCGTTCGCCCGCTAAACAATAAAAATCACAAAATTCGACGACCAAAAAACATAAAAAGGGCATTTTTGTAGGTTTCCCGAGGGATAAACCCACTAATTATATATGAAAATCATAAAGAATTTAAATATCTATAATTTGGTGAAAAATCGGTTGTCCTACGACATGGCGTTCGCCCGCTAAACACTAAAAACCAAAAAATTCGACATAAAACATAAAGAGGGCATTTTTGTAGGTTTCCCGAGGGATAAACACACAATTTATACATGAAAGTCAAAAAGAATTTAAATATCTATAATTTGGTGAAGGAACGGTTATGCTACGACAAGGCGTTCGCCCGCTAAACGCGAAAAACCACAAAATTAGCCGACCAAAAAACATAAAAAGGGCATTTTTGTAGGTTTCCCGAGGGATAAACCAACAATTTATACATGAAAATTAAAAAGTATTTAAATATCTATAAGTTGGTGAAAAAACGGTTATCCTACGATAAGGCGTTCGCCCGCTAAACACTAAAAACCACAAAATTAGCCGACCGAAAAACATAAAAGGGGCATTTTTGTAGGTTTCCCGAGGGATAAACCCACAAATTGTACATGAATGTTATAAAGAATTTGAATACCTATAATTTGGTGAAAGAACGGTTGTCCTGCGACAACGCGTTTGCCCGCTAAACACTAAAAACCACAAAAATAGC